TGCGATCAATTATGTCCGCTGTGTTATACACACGGACATCAAAGAAAATTACGCCATCGGGCACTAATACCACTTGACGAATTACGCCGCCGCCGGCGACTCGTTTCGACTGAGGACTGTTGGAAGACTTGGTTGGAACTGGCTCGTCGTTGTCTGACCCGAACAGGTTGGTCAATATCGAATCACTTGATTTTGTGGCAGACTCACTGAAAATTTGTATATTGTGATAGAAAGAAAAAAAGTTGTCAAATTGATACGTACCTAGTGACCTTCTTTTTCTTCCTCGAGTCTTTTTCGGTATATTTACGAGATATCTTTGTTTTTTTTTTGGAGGTCTGTTGATGAAAAATTAAAAAGGTTGTTAAAATAAAACAACAGCAGGTCTACAAACCCTATAAACATTTAAAGTTAAGAATTTAAATTATATTTTTTATTTAATTGATAAAAGTAATCGCTGTGACTATAGTTGATATATTTATACTCTAAAGAGATATAGGCACAACTACCGGCAATCTTCTTCGCCTGTTGCGATCTCTGAATTGAAGTCTATGTCAGCAGGAGCGGAAGCGGCAGCGTAGCGTTTATTGTACTGTGATTCAGAACTATAGGAAAAGACAGACAGTTGCTTTTTAAGTTGATAAAGGCCCTTATCTTACGAAGCTATTCAAATACAACGCGACAGAGATGCAAACTATTGTCGCCTACTGGTTTGCTATTGGTTTCCGCACACGGTGCTACGCAAATGAGACAATTTTTTATCATTTGGAGAACAACATTCCTACGACGATGTCTAGTGACTCCGATGAAGACAACGTTCTTCTATATTTATATTACAAGAATAAACGAAAATATAAAAGTAGATTTTGGGTGCATCCGTACATCGAAAAAAATATCAATTGTAGAGCATTCGTCGCTGCTTTAGAACTGCATGAGAATGATGACGAGAAGTTGTCTATTTTTAAAGAATATGTGTGTTCATTAAATTTATTTCTTCCAGTTTCATTATTAATTATATTCCAAGTTGTCTTTATTTTATTATCTGATAGACTATTTTTTTTTGATAAAAATTTAGCTTTCGCTATGGCACACACCTTTTTAAAAGTTTTTGAATAGTTTTTGACATATTCTAATTCTATATTATCTTATGCTGAACTTTTAGGATCCGAGACAAAAGTGGCGCTTATAAAAATTGTCCATTATCAACGTATGGCCTTTATCAAAAAGTGGTCTCGTTAAGTTCAGCACAATCTGGGCCGTGGCACTCTCCGTCTCGTCAGACTTGCCCGCGCTGTTCCGGCTCCCCGTCTTGTACCACAAGTGCGTGCCCTTTGCCCGTGTAGACCTCCATCCGCCATAAATATCCAGTCCTGGATTCACATAACTCGTAAGTCTTTATACCTACTCGAGCTCTTTTTGTAGCAATTTTTTGCGCAAATGAGAGCCGCCCCTTCCAAAGAAGGAGTGACTCGTCAATTGCTATATTTTGCTCAAGTACGTATAAAGATTTAAATTTTTTGTTTAAGTGCTCTATGATGGGGATGATTTTATCGAGTTTGGTGGATGGCTGTCTAAGTCCATCGGATAATCATCGATTTGTCTTGGTTTCAAGGAAATATCGATCATACCGACCATATCCGTCAAATCATCTTCATCTACTTCGCTGCCTTCGCCAGGCTCTATTAAGTCACGCCCTATATCGATATCGATATCTGTTGTAAGTAAGAAAAGAAATTTTAGGATTTGGTCCACCACCCTATCATCTTATGGAGGCGACACATGAAATTCTAATAATACTTCAAACTTACCCATACTGTAATTGCTTCTTCTAGAGCCAGGCGCTGTTCGAGTACCGGTAGAAGCTGAAACAGTTATAAATTTGAAGTGAAATAAGTTGAAAGTAAAAGAAATCATTTTTTAAAATATGATATCAACTGATAAGGTGTAAACCCCAGGAGTTCTGTTTCTGCTGGCACGATATTTTGAGGCGATGCAGTAGCCTGGATGATCGCCGTCGAGGGCGAAAATTGGATCTTGCGTTTCCTGTCAATAAAAAATTGTAGATACTGTAAATTTTGTTTATATTTTTTTAGAATCGGCCACATTCATTTATTACAGAAACAAAATAACCTACTTCGCTTGAGGTGGAGTCCCTGCAGAAGGAACGGCCTTTAGGAAGAGAGGGTGCATCTCCTCATCCTCGGTGATATCTGGAATAAACAAATAGATATGTTCCAGATCAAGAAACCAACTAATATCTGATGTGTGTGTCGGTGTTCCTCAGGGCGGTGTGCTATCTCCTTTGCTTTTTGCTATCTTCATTAATTACATTACTCTTAACTTAACTTCTACCTGTCATCTGTATGCAGACGATCTCCAGATTTACACACAGGCTCGATTAGAAAATTTGCACTTATAACAAAATGGAGCCACTCATTTGGACTAAAAATTAATCCGACGAAAACGCAGTGCATAATTATTGGTAGCCCTTACTTCATATCACGGACGGACTTTAAGCAACTGCCATCAGTTACTTTGAATGGAACTGTTATCCCATTTTCTGATACAGTTCGGAATTTAGGGGTAATATTTGATAGCACCCTATCCTGGTGTCATCAGGTTGCTGAGGTTAGTAGACGAACTTTCGCTGCGGCCGGATCTTTGCGGCGTTTGCGTAACTTTTTGCCAACTGCCACCAAAATTTTTCTTGCAACTTCCCTTCTTCTACCAATTCTTGACTATGCAGATGTTTGTTATCCTTATCTTACCTTTGACCTTTTTAGTAAACTGGAACGACTGCAAAATTTTTCCATTAGGTTCATATATGGTTTGCGTAAGTACGACCATGTTTCTTACTACAGGCAAAAATTAAAGTGGCTTTCCATTCGTCGTCGCCGAGATCTACATGTATTATCCCTACTTTTCTCAGCACTGTTCAATCCAAAAACTCCTGTTTACCTCAAAGAACGTTTTCAGTTTCATTCTTCCTCCCATAATCTTCCACTTCGTTCATCTAACAATCTTCTTCTTTTCACTCCTCCTAACTTTTCCAAGGCATATAGTCATTCTTTTACCGTACATGCTATCCAACTCTGGAATTCCCTGCCCGAAGAGATAAGGCGTGCCCAAACTTTAGACGGTTTTAAATCTCTAGTTAAGGAGCACTTTTTGTCGGAGGAACTTAATTTTTCATAAGTCTTGCATTAGAACTTACCGGTGTCGGTAGCGTTGTAAAGTATCTGAGTATTTATGTTTGCCTATATATTAAAATTTCTCTTATTGTATTGTTTTTTCTTTTAATTTTTTTTCCCCCCTTTTCGTCTTCTTATCTAATTATCAGGAAAACTACTCGCTTACCTTATTTTATTTCCAGCTCATTGGGTTGTCTGGAAGAAATCGCTCATTAGCGATAAGACCGCCCTTTGTGCAATGTTGTATTTTTCTACTTGTTTTGTATTTGCTTGTTTTGTTACTGTGTTGTGCAATAAAGAGTTTTTATCTTATCTTATCTTATATGTTTTTCTTTTTAGGTACTGTGTGCACTACTTTTTTTTACCAATGGTGATTACCAACGAGTTGTTGGAATTGCAAATCATTTCTCTCAAGAGGCAATTAGCAAATACATAGCACAAGTCACGAAGGCATCAAATCATCCCAACATAACAGACTTTTATTAAGTTTCCCAATACAAGGGAAGCCAGGGATCTTATAAAACAAAGGTATGTTGAAATCCACATATTACTTAAATTGTATTAAAATATACTAACCTAATGTAAAACATTGTTTTACTACAGATTTTATAACTCAAATGGTATTCCTGGGGTGGTAGGATATATAGATGGCTGCCACTTCCGAATATTCAAACCGAGGAAAGAGGAGGAACATCTCTTTTACTGCAGAAAACATTACCATTCATTAAATGTTCTAATGGTAAAGCACTGTTTTAATGTGAATAAATTTTATTTTAACATATGATGTAGTATTCAAAGTAGACACATTTAATTAAAGTGTTATTCTCAAGTAAATACAATAAAAAAAAGAGTAATATTTATGGTATCATGATCAATCTCACAGCTTGTTTCTTTTATTTTAGGTATGTGATGATAATTGAAGGATTATATATATAAATCCCAAATTTGGAGGTGCGAGCCATGATGCTTTTGTGTGGGAGAACAGCCATTTTAACAATTATTTGCAAACATTGCATCGAAGTGGTGAATCTGTGTGGCTTTTAGGTGTGTAAAGATTGATATTGAATTATATTCCTACAATTTATTAATAGAAGGATTTTTATACTTATTGTCTTCTTTTCTATATCCTACAGGAGGCTCTGGATATCCACAAAGGCCATGGTTAATGACACCCTATTCTAACCCAGCTGCTGGCTCTGCAGCAGAGACATACAATAATGTACACAGTAAAGCTCGGGTTGTAATAGAAAATACTCTTGGGCGTTTAAAAAATAGATGGAGGTGTGTCTGCAAAGATAGGGTTTTGCATTACAAACCAGAGAAATGTGCCCAAATAATAATTGCTTGTAGTGTGCTACACAATTTGTCACTGGATTTTGCTGTGCCATTGCCCTCTAATGAGATGTTTGGTATGTACAATATTAATTTAATCAATAATGATATTAAGTATCTTGTTATCCTGTTCCTAATTATTTTTATCTTTATTATGTTACAGGTAATCAGCAATTCTACCGTACCGAAATTCCCGAGGAAGAAGACCAGTCTTTATTATCTCTGGGGCGAATAATTCGCGATCGATTGGCCAGCAGAATATAGAGCAACATAATTTTAATAAATTATTTTTAAAGTAAAACACCAATAATTTTATTTATTATTAATTAAAATTTTCTATTACATTGATAAATTTTGCAAACAGAGTTTGCCACTGAGCTTCTTGGTCAAGTTCTCTTACTCGCAAACGTACATGCTCAGCAGCAAACTGCTGCAAATTTCTGCCAGCGTTCTTCGCTGGCCAAAAAGTTTGCCGCAGCATCAGCCGGACGAGAGCGACGCGGGGGCAATGTACCTACGCCGCTGGCGACTAGCGCGTCGAGTGCTGGAACTGGCGCCACGGTGACTAGGACTCCCCACCTGACTTGCATGATGAGGAGTGGGTGAGGTTGCACCTCCTACCACGTCCTCAACAGTGAAGGGGCTACTTCTGTCTGGCACTGAAAACAAATAATTGATTTAGTTTTATTGATCAATATAGCAACCTGCACCCAAATGATGAATAATTTTATATAAACACTCACTGTTCTCAACTTGGATGTTGACTTGCCGGGATGTAGAGGGCTGTGGTTGTGGTGATGGTGGTGGAGTTGATGCTCTTGCATCATGTTGCTGGTCTACAGCTAAAGTTGGCTGGAACTATAACAAAAACAAATTTAAAGTGAAAAATGTGGTTTAACTAAATAAAAATATTAAAATAAGACATTGAAAAAGTGCAAAGCATTACCTCCAAACCAACTTCAGCAATATATGGCAGACCTGCAGCGGCCTGGGTTCCTATCAATTCCAGTACTCGCTGCTCCAAGTCTGTCAAGACCAGCTTACACGCCGGTCCACCACCAGTACCACTGGCAGCTCGGCTGATTTTGGCTGGCTTGCGTTTCGTGTTGTTTTTAAGGTCACTCCACACCTGGACATGGAAAAACTATAAAAAAATACTTATAGTGCATATATCTAGCATATTTTTTAAAGATCTTTTAAATCTCTTGCAAACTTTTTCATTGCAAAACTATACCTTTTTCTATTTTTCGACTGGCTTAGACGAATCAGTCTTGTCCAAGTTGAGGACATTAGCCAGCTCCGTCCACTTAATTGCCACCGCAAGTCTGCCATTGGGGCCATCAACTGGTTTGTTTAAGTCACCATTCCTAAAATAACACAGAAAAATTAAAACATTTCTTATACCAACTAACTTTATAAATTAGTTTTAGAATTTGATGCAAGTACCACATACCTTTCCATGAAATCAACCATGATTTCAAATTGATTATTGCTTGTGCGGCTCATCTCAAAGTAATTTTAAAAATCTATTTGTTTTTAATGAAGGTTACAACGTTTAAAATTCTAGAAATTTTAATAAGTACTTTTAATACCGGCACTTCACTTTGTTGTTATATTTACTATTTCTCTTTATCATGCTTTATAACGAATGAAAAGGACAGACTGATGTCAAGTTTACAGATAGCAAACACGAAAAGCCAAGTGATGTGCCGGCATAGCACCAATAACAAAAAGTAAAAAACGAATATTAATACGTCAAACTGACATCCATGTTAGACAGAAGTCTGTCCTTTTTTCTCTCTAAGCGTGCAAGAGAGATGAAAATATGCACCGTGAAGTTCGTACTTTCGAGTTAACGATGGACGATATCGTTTAAACGATGCTCGAAAAAATTAACTTGTACTACCATTGATCTCGTAAACTGACAGTTTGTGCGAGCACACGAAAACTATCATAGTTTTCGTCATTGTAAAACTCGTACTAAGGGTACAGGTGTCATTCTATTAACTGCACACGAGTAAAGGTCACACGGGAACCTTCGTAGCGTGAGAACGTATCGAAAGCAAAAATGGCAAGCGAAGTCATAAATAGTAAAAATTGTAACGAAAATGTGACGTCTGTTTTTGTCTTTAATTCTGAGTTTAAAATTTGTGGATACAGTGTTCACCTCCGACTTTCCGTAGTTACGAATGTGATCTTGATTCAATCCTGTTATTCTTAGCATTCTAACAACATTGTCCTAGTTAGGGTCGCCTTTTTTAATAACTTTATCTTGCGAACCTGTGATAGCTGTATCGGAAACTAGCCTATCTCGAAAAATGAATTCTTAACAATTTGTACAAAATTCCTAATCATTTGCTAGCATTTTCACGCCTGTAAGAAAATGTTAAAATTATTCAGCTTCTTGCTGTTTTCTGTTATAGAATTTAAATCGACAGTGTAAAAGAACATTTCAATAGTCTTATGTTCCTTTTGGGCACATAACTGACTAGTGTAGTCTTTCTGAAACCCAAACAAAGAGCTTTTTATTTCTTGGTCCCGACTAGTCTTAAAATTTGGGGGCTTTCTGGATTATTACTCTTGAGAGTGCCGCCCACAGGAATTATTTTTTCCAAAAGCTGCAATGCCACTGAATAACTGGTGAACCAGTTATCCTTCGTAACATTACGTCCCATATATATGACTGGTTCTAGTAATCTATTAGTGAAGTCTGCCACTTTGTTGGATACATGAAATGGGCCTTCTGGTTGTTCATCACAGTATACTTCGAAGTTGTAAACATACGGATATTTTGTGTCCACTACCATAAATATCTTAATCCAAATTTTGCCGGTTTATTGGGTGTAACATATTTTTAAGTTGTTAATGTTACTCACCAACTAACAAAATCGCAGAACAAAAGACTTTAATATTTCAGGGTGTAGTTTTTGCTGTGAAATGATTGAAACAACTTTATTTTACCTCATACTGGGTTTATTCGTAGTAGTGGCGTTAACATTCAATTTCCAACGTTATTTTACTAAATACATACTCTTTCTACCTTATTGTACGACGTTGACAAACTAAGTTTACTTTTCTTGATGAAATACGTTAAACTGGATAGCTGAGAAGTCAATTGCGATGGTGACAGCTTCTTATTATCTTGTTATTCGAAGATTAGGAGTCCACACTGTTCATCAAGCCTTGTTAAGTTTATTCACTACCGCGTGGTCTCATGACGTCGCCATTTTGTTGTAAGAAATGAAGCCAAGTAATTCTTGGTTAATTCATGTAGAATGATTCATCACATTTAAGTATGAAGACTAATAGTTAACCACTACGCCTACGAACCCCTAAAACAAAGAAATGCAGTAGATATGCACTTTTCTCTAAAGATTCTTAACTGTCCAGAAATTAAAATTGTACTTACAGATATGGGATTTTCTATAAAATTATCCTTAAACAACGTTAAAACAACTACGACATCGTCTTCCTTTGGTGTTCACTGAGCCACTTTTCATTTCCTATTCTCTTCTTTAATTACTTTCAAGCGAGCTCAAAATTCGAAGTTCCTCCTCGTTGCCTATTCTAGAAAAGAACTCCCCTCCTACCACAATCTCCCATCAATCAAGACGCCCCCTGACGGCGATTTATGTAACCATCATTACGTTTAAAAGTAATAAGAAAAGCACGCTGTATTGAGTCGTTTACTTTTTCTTTATGTACTAGTTCTTATGAGTTTCAATAGATGGCGCTTAACACAAATAATTATGTTACATGGGTAGGTACATTTTAAAACGACAATGACCTTTAAATGCTACAAGTTGCTCATCCAATGTCAAGTTTTCACTTGGATTATAATATTCTAAACAATGGTGTCTCATTTATTTATTTATTTATTCTTTATTACCATAAGAACAGTAAATGGCGGACTTAATGCCATAGGCATTCTCTACCAGTCAACCAGTAAAGGTGTAGGAGATGCAATGTAATGGCGATAGAATATGAGATACTTAGTGTGGATCATAAAAAATATCTACTATACCTAACTATTCTATAACAACAATAAATATAAAATACATATTATACCTACACATATACTGATACACATATATATTCATAAATATATATACTTATAAATAAATACATAAATAAACATACATACACTAAATTAGTAAAAAATAAATAAAAATAGATATGATGATATTATAGATGACTACAGATTAAGAGGAAAATTAGGTTGACAGATAGTGAGCACGCACTAGTTTTTTGAAATGTAACTTATTACGTGCACTGCGAATATTCAGTGGCAAAGCATTCCAAAGACGTATAGCTGTGATGGCGAAAGATTTGGAAACGAACCCAGAATGGTGAAAAATAGTTTTGAGGGTAAGGTGCGTGCAAGAGCGAAGATCACGTGGTCTGGAGGGACCCAGAAATTGAAACCTAGATTTCAAGTATTCTGGGGCACGTGGATCGTATAGAACACTGAAAAGCATGCATAAAATTCTGAGATTTCTAAGGTCACGTATGGACAGCCAATTGAGTTTATTTCTATAGTGGGAGATATGGTCGTACTTACGTAAACCGAAGATAAAGCGAATACCGCTGTTGAGCAAACGATCCATCTTAGAAAGAAGGTTTTGATTGGTGTCAGAATAGCAGACGTCAGCATAGTCAAGGATAGGCAGAACGAGAGCCTGTACCAGCGAAACCTTTGTACTGGAAGGGAGAAAGAATTTTAACCTGTACAGAGCCCTAAGTGTATTAATTACTTTACGGCATACTTCTTCAACTTGATTCTCCCAGCTAAGAGTACAGTCAATGAGTAGGCCAAGATTCTTGACGCATGGTTGAAATTTAATTACAGTACCATTGTATAGTAATGGATTCAGTGAACCTAAATCCAGAAAGGCCAACTGCCGGGAACTACCTATTATAATTGCCTGACATTTTGATGGATTAACAGAGATACCATAACAGTTGGACCATTCCGAAATCCTCTGAAGGTCATTATTCAGGCATATGAGGGCCTCATCTAAACTATTTTTATCTGCATGAACATAAAGTTAGAGATCGTCAGCATATAGATGGTAAGAGGAATGAATCATAGTAGTAAGGAAATTAATAAATAAAGAAAAAAGAAGAGGAGAGAGAATACCGCCCTGTGGAACACCAGCAGTGAGAGCGCACCAGTCCGAGATGGTTTGGTCTACCCGTACAGCCTGCTGGCGTCCACGAAGATAAGATGAAAACCAGGTCCCTACTGAAGAAGAAACTCCTGCTTGTGAAAGAATTGCCAGGAGAATATCATAATTGACCATATTGAATGCGTTGGAGAAGTCTATTAGGACCATAACAGTCAACTGCGAATTCTCCATACCGCTACGAATGTCGTCAAGGACATTGATAAGGGCAGTGGTAGTACTGTGACCTGGACGGAACCCAGATTGCAGTGGGCTGAGAATGTTGTGGCGAAAGATAAATGAGGTGAGTTGGCTGTGCACAGCAGCTTCTAAAACCTTGGAGAGAAAAGGAAGAATAGATATGGGCCGGTAGTGGCTCAGAGATGACGGACTATTAATTTTAGGAAGAGGCGTAGTAAGTGCTTTCCTCCAGATAGAAGGAAAGGTACATGATGAAAGGGAAAAATTAAGAATAAAGGTGAGACTTGGAAGTATACATTCAAGTATAGGGATAATCATAGTCCTGCTGATATCGTCACATCCCACTGCCTTAGATCATGGCCTCAATAAAGCCCCGTACGGCAGCAAGCTTATCAATTTCTTGTCTTTGCCGGCGGTCTAGGATATCATCAAATCGTACAGATCGAATGAGGAAACAAAATCGACTTATAGACATTGTGAGGTAACCCAGCTCGAAGTCCATTCCAACAGAGTTGTCCCAAAAGTCTAACATTTTGACGTCTTGAATTATTGACACCGATAACTATGAGTAGCCCAACAAATGCCCTCATTTCAGTAGAGTCGTTGCATCGCGTTCTTTTTGATATTTATTCTTTATAGTATCTGTATATATATTTGTATACTTTATCAGGAATTTAAAGACATCAGGGTCAAATAGGCATGCGTCCGATATATCAAAACGAATCCAAAATCCGATTTCAAGCACAAATCGATACCGAACGAT